TTTACATTACTTCTAGCTGCTGGACTTGGAGTTATTCCATTAATTCTAAATTGTATTTTATATGTAGTAACTAAAAACATTCCTGATGAAAGTGACAATCGTATCAAAGAATGTATACCAATTTTAATTCCTGATCATATGCCAATAACAGTGCCAGCAGGTATAGAAACTGTTCTATTGCCAGCAAAAACTACAAGAAACATACGACAAAATTGCTGAATCTTTTTTAATATTTTATATTGTCTCAATGTTATTGTTTTATTTTTATTTTTAAACGATTAAAAAATCTTTTAATTGAAGTTTCCATTCTCATGTTAAAATAGTTATTTTGTTTTGTTTTTATTTTTGGGTGAAGAATATATAGTAAGAACGAACAAATTTTTAATAAATAAATAATAAATTTGCACAGTATGTCATAAATCTTTTTTTCAAAAGCAATAAATTGACGAATTTCATCTATCATCAAGAGATACAAAAGTTTCTTTAGTCCTGTAAAAAAGATTAAGATTGATAATTGACATTTCTTACAAATATTTATATAAGTGAATTATAAGTTTTTTTTTGTACAATTACTGTTTTCGATTGTGTACGGGATAAGCTGCGCTCCAACGGAACGATTTTAAGCTAGGTTTTTTTAAAATTCTATCTCCTTTATAGTCATTTACATTCATATCAAATTTCATGTTTCTAATTTAGATCGTTCATAAGTTACTGATTTTTCAGTTAGAAAAACTGGGATTTTTTAAACGAGATGTATGTAAAGGAGATGGTTGCCTAAAACGAGAAAGAAAACAGAAAATTTAAATAGGACCTTTTTTGGCTTGGATACCACGTTATTGAAACATATGATTTACTAGTCAATACATTTATCCGTTGGTATAGTTCCATTGTCGATCTTTGATGACAGAAACTTTTTGTGTGTAATATTCAGTAATACAAAACTCATTACTTCCACAAACTAGGCAAGATTTGGATAGAAAAACAATATACAAAATAATACAGTGAAGTAACTTTTATGATATGGAAAAGGTATATCTTTTCTTATTTCTATATGAGAGATAAAGAAGAGATCGGAAAAGTTCAAATAACAATAATATATTCATCCATGCTGTAATAACACTTCGAACCCTATTTAGTCTAGAACTCATAAGAAATGATTGTTCTAATTTCATGAAAACTTTCAAGTTGGATAGAGTTCAAACAGTTATATTGATAATAAAAATATAAATTTCATTGCTTCTGCTATTCAGAAAATATTCATTTCATATAACAAAATTTGTAGTGACATAGTTTCATATTTATTTCGAAGAAAATCTACCAAAGAATAAACTTATTAGATATTATCAGACTTTTTATGTTGCAACGAATCAATCTATGTCTATTCTATAGATACATAGGCCATAGTTCAATGACGAAAAAAAATTAAAATAGTTCTTTTAGGATTATTAGCAAGATTCAACATTTTTTTATTATAACAACAAAAATATGATGATACTATGGGTGAACTGAATTATTGAGTTATAAAATTGATATTCTGGATTTTGCTCACTATTATTTATAATGTTTTGTTAGGCATTTGAATAAAAACAAGCTGATACCAAAATGTTATGTCTATATTCTAAAAAATTCGCTTCTATGAAAGAAATTTACATTACAAGAAGCGAGACAAAAAAAAATAAAAAGAGAGAAGCTGCTGTGTCAGAATGCATCACAAACTCTGTATAAAATTCAAAAATAACTCTAGTAGCTATATACTATAATAATGTATTGATAGAATGTCGTTTTTATCTCTACATAAGATGCTTTTTTGAATTTAGGTAGAACTATGTTTTGTTGTTTGTTTCATAAACATCATTTTATTTCTCTTAGCGAGATCTATCGAATGATACATAATTCATGGAATCTCAAAGGTTTGTATCAGCAAAGTCTTTTATTAAACGTTGGGATATTTTGATCAGAGAAATTAGATAAAAAAGTACGAATAAATTTCATTTAATTTAACTTTCAAATTTTTGAGTAAAAATAATAGTTAAGTAAACACTATTGAAATTCAAAGCCACTTGGAGTCAAATAAAATATCAGTGACAAGAAATAGAGTTTGTCTTATGAGCAAAATGTCATGTTTTTTTCGACTTATTCTTGTACAATAAAGAAAATGATCTCTCATGGACTAAAATGACAAAGTTGATCACGATGATTTATCATTGTTGATTTAGAATCATGCAAAATATGTACATATAAAGTTAAAATTCTTTCAGTTCATTAAAAGATTGAAAAAAATCTTTCATATAGAACTATAAAAGATATTTGTTTTTTTGTTGAAAGAGTATTTCCTTTGATTACTGATAAGTATAATTCAGATTTCTGCTTGAACCTTCTGGTCATGCATTCATCATTTTGACGTGAATTAAATTTTAATTCTGACGATTGGTCTTTTGAAACAAAGCTTTTTGAGTGACTCAGATGAAAAGAATATCTGAAAAAGTATAGTCAAACTAATGTAGCGATGAATGTGGAATTCTATTTTAGTGCTTTTACAATTTTCGGGAACTTCCTACCATATGTGTGAAATTCTTCTAAACTTACTCACAAATCTTCATGGAATACCTGCAAAATTACTAACTGATTCGTGAGAAAATTTATTAGGAACTCCTCGAGAATTTAACTAGCGAGAGTGGAATAGATACATGAGTTCTATTTAAATAGACTAAAAAAAAAACAAATCATTAGCTAATGACTTTCTTCATGATATTTTTTTGATAACTTATTTAAAATTCTCTCATTTGTATATAGACATTTATTAAAACTCTTTTTCTACTTATTTATAAATTAAACCAACGAAATGGAGGAAAGATCTACAAAGAAATCGCATGACATATATACATTTGCAGAATCTGTACAACATGGGTCTACACACCTGTAATTCTTTTAATGCATATTAATCGTTACGTTGCAGTTTTGCGTATTGATAGTTATATGTTAAGATGATGACGAAATTAATTGTATTCATCTTTATATATTTTTCAAGGAAGTTCGACTTAAATCCATTTATTGTAACTCCTCTTTGTATGTTTTATACTAATATGCTTACGAAGCACTTCGTTACAATTTTTCACTCGTACTAACTCAATTAGAAATGATAACAACCACTAAAAGAAATTGATAAAACATGTTTTTTATTTTGCTGTTACAAAATATTTAAAACGTGATTAAAATAGTGTCAAAATTGATCTAAAGAATTGTTCCTATTAATTTTCACAGGAATGATGTGTGTATTCTATGAAACGTAATCCAGATCAAAATAGAATACGATGTAAATTTGGTATTGTTGAAGCAGTTAATGATTTTCTTACTTTTTTTCTTCAACAATTTTATAATTGTTATTGATTAATGGTAGTCGTGGAAATCGTCTATATATTTTTTTTAATATCTTGTTTCAAATCGAACAAATCAGATCAAGAAAAATAATCATGAACAAAAAAGAAAACAAACAGATTTTACATACGTTTTTGCATTTAGTCTCGACATATTTAGACACAAAAGAACGACATATGGATTAACTATTCGATCGATGGCATGAAAGCTTAATGCATTACTTCTGAATGACAGATGTATAAGTAACAATTTGTTATTTACATGCATTATCTATAGATGATATAGTTTTAGTCTTTGACCTGTTTTGATTTGTGATAGCTACAACAACGACCAATAAACTATCTAGATAAGTTTTTCCTATTGTAGCTGAATATAAAATCAGAAAACATGGGATGATAAAAATGACAACTCAAGAGCATCTTACTATCTTGTGTTTAAAAAAAGTTATTAACGCAATCCGTATGAGATTAAAATGTGCAATACGATGTAGCTACTTTGGCTAAGCATAGCAGATTACTCTATTCTATCTATCTTTGGGACATATTTTCTCACCATCCTTTTACTTAATCCTCCAAAAATGCAATGAGCAAATAGTTCATATCTTATAGTGAGACATTATTAATATACGGTCTGCAATCGTATATCAACAACGTCTGTCACAGTCTATGGGAGGCAAGGATGAAGGATTCAAATTTTTACCATTATTTTTCAACAGTCGATTTACATCATGTCTCACAAAACTTATTAGTGCGGCCTTTCATGAGAGACCAAAGTGTGGAACTGCCAAACTCTGACTATTATAAATTTATGGTTTATTGTCAGGGGACTTAAAATCGTTTATTTCAAAAATGTCAAATAAATGAATAAATCAAAACTATAATAATTTTTCTAGTTGATATGTGCATTTTGAAATTTCATTATTTCGTAAATGTTTGCATTTAGAATTCCTATCCTACCAATTTATTAGATTCATTTAACATCATTGTACTGAAAAAACTTATTTGTATTGTCAGATACATCTTCAATATATAACTTCTTTTCTTTTAATGATAATGTATACAATACATGCCATTCTTTCTCTCGATGAACTTTGACATATATCCAATGAGTCTTGTCTAGACTTAAAATTTAATTAGTTCATACTTTTCCATGCCCATCCTACTTCGGTTCTGATGGATTAATAATACCACTACCATATTGATTGATCTTTACACAAAGATCTTCTTGCTGCATTAAATACCAAAACCCACAATATTTCGATTAGTTCGAATCTATAGAAGGAATCTTAGATTCATCGAATGCTTTAGAGGATTCTAGAAAGTTCTAGAATGATCTAAGCCCTGTTGTTACTGACGCACATTTCCCCATTAAACTAGGAAAATGTGCCGAATAACCTTTGACTTTTCCCCTTCCACTCTTGGTTGTTAGAGTCGGTCGAAGGAGCAAGAAGCCATCGATTGTTAAAATTACTTTTTTTTCCTTCATATTAAATCATTTAACTACATCTCGAAATAATTTTATGAATACGATCTTATTAAAAACATATCATAAATTGAAAAACTAATGCTTTAATTTAATTTTTCTATTATAATTTCACTAGTAATGAAAAATATAAGAAAAGGAAATCAAACTGGATGTATATCATTCCGAGAATAATACAGAACAAGTTCAAATATGAGTGCACTAATAGCTGACAACGGTCCTCGAGATATTAGTTTCGGTAGAACACCTCTCAACAATCCATGTACACCTTCGTCATGCCATAAACATCTAAGACCATGAAACATATTTTTATACATTATTGGTGATGATTTTGTATCTGATATATAAAGATTTTGTGTTTGAATACGTGTTTTAACAACATCTAATGGATTAACACAAGTTGATGTAATTGTACCAGCAATAAAACCCGCTGTAAATTGTGGAATTCGATGAATTTCAGTTTTTTTATCATCCGATGATTTCGACCATACTAAATAAGGTAATATCGATGGACGATAAAGAAGAAGTTTAACATTTTCATAAGCTGTCCACCATATAGATGAAGCAAGTATACTAACAATAAATGTTGCACCAAGTCCTCGATAATAACCTTTAAGACCTTCATTTACATAGATTTTACGTACAGCATCTGAAGTTGATTTATATGGACTATTAGCAATTTGGAGACGTTGTACAATAACATCACTAGGCACATAGAAGAGGATACTAACAACATCAGCTAAATATATTCAAGAGAAAAAGATTTACAAATTAATATAAAGAGTTATTTTATATACCGATAGCACCGGCAATAAATGGTGCATAAAAACGAGCAGATATATTTGTTGATGCATTAAGTTGATCTTTCGTAGAAATATAAACACCTAAATAAATTCCATATGCTGGTATACTAGCCATATTTGAAAACCAAAAACCACGATATAATGATGAACCTTGTGTAGCATAATTTGATTTTGATAAAGTGGTGCGTAGATGATATCGAAATGATTGTAAAAGTGTTAAATTGCGTCTATCACTTTGTTCACGTGTTTTAAGAACATAGAACCTATTTTGAATTGTTATTAAAAAATAAATAAAATAAAAATAAATGTTAAAAAAACAATACACACGGATAGAAAATAACATTTTCAATTGTTGATGAAACAGTGATTAAAGCTCCAAATTTGAACAAATTAACATCTGACCATTTGGTTGTATGTGGATCAAATGGTTCTCTTGATACCATCTTAGTTTCTGAAGATAGTTCATGGTCAGTGGCTTCGGATTTGACAAAACTGACAGCCATTGCATGATCTTTGTAATAATTCAAAATAAATTCTTCAAAATATTTGTTATATTTTGCATTCGATGGATGGGTGATCGTACAATGTTTCTATGCAATGGTAGAAAGGAAACAACCAGTAAAATTATAGTACGAAACCATCGACTAATATAGACAATAATTCCATTATAGATCTATAGTGACATCTATCAAGATACACTCAAGTTATTTTTATATAATACATTATGTTTGTTGATAACGCTTTTACCCATTTTTGATTATCGGATTGTCATAATTTAGAAAATTTAATTTGACCAAGAGCTGAAATTTACATTACAGCACAATATATAAATGTTCTAGTTTAACTAAAAGTTTTATTTCATTTGATTGATTTATGACAATTTTACAAGGATAGAAAGCTAGAGTAATGTACTCATGCAAAAGGATCTCTTTTATTAGAACTATTCAAAAAAGCTCATATTCCTGAAAATTTTCTCACTCTGAACAAAATATTTTCATTTGCGTTTTGTAGTTAAGACAACAGAACTTACGATAGTGAAATGTGTTTTTTGGAAGTTTGTTCCTGGTAAAAGTTATTACTAGAACATTACAGTAATGCTATTAGAAACTGTTTTTGTTTTAGATTCACTAAAAAAAGTCTAGTTTTGACAACAAAAGAAGATGACTCACTAATGTTAAACTGTAGCTCAACATTCGATGATACTGTTTATTGTTATTTCCATTTTTTTAAAAATGATATCGTAGAGTGTTCGCAGTTTAATGAAAACAAGGGGATAAGTGCAGGTTTGAAACCCCAACACCTTTTGATACTGAAGGTGCTATGATGCTGATACATATTTGGAATTAGGTTGAAAATTAACGTAATAGCTATGAGTGAGAGTTATACTATTTTAATTCCATTTTCTTCAATCAAGACTAGGCTATTTTTCGAAAATAACGATTTTTTTTTTAAATAAAACTTGACTAAAGGTTTCCAAAGTCAAGAAATCCAAATATCTAATCGATTTTTCGAAATTTTTGAGTTCAATCTTTTTGGTCAGTGGAAACCTATTTTCTGTAGTTTACTCACGTTTCACAACATTGAGCTATTTGTTTCCAATATGCTTTTCCTGACCAAAAAATTTGAACTCTAGAACTTGAAAAAATCGATTAGAGATTCGAATTTCTCGACTCGAGAAAACTTTAGTCAAGTTTTATAAAAAATCTTTACTTTCGAAAAATAGTTTTGTCTTGATTAAAAAAGAATCGATTTAAAATAGTATGACTCTCACTCATAGATATCACCTTAATGTCCAGTCTTATCTCAAATATATATGAGATCTTTAGCACTTCGTAGTAAAATTTTGTGCTCAGGTGCTGCACTTGCCTCCTAGAATCTATCAATGTAGAATAAATAAAAACCTAAAAACATTTTCTAATGAATAAGTTCGATCATTTTCTGTTAGAGTAATTTTCTGCTCAACTATAGTCAAGTATGGTCCTTTTTATACATTGTATATCGTGATTTATTCAACAGAATAAAATCTTTTCGATCATTACCACTCCAGCACATATAGACATTTTGTTTTAGAAAATGAAAAGTTTCCACAATGAGTAACATGAAATAAAGGAAAAGTTTCATCAATAAAAATAAATAATAAAATTTCTGAATTATAATAACATGTTTAGAAATGAAAATTTGCTTAATAATTGAATATTTATTCAAATATTCTCTCATAATTTTTAGACACAGCTGAGAACGATTCGTTTAATAAACTTCATCGGAATTCAGTCGTATTTATCATAATCTTATAGGAGCTTCAATAGCTCAACAACAATGAATAGATAGTCGCACTTGCAAGATCAGTATCTGTATATACAGTAAGGTAAAGAAGTCCTTGATCCCTGCATAAGTAATTTTTTTGGAAGCTTGCAGATGAAGTTTTTAAGAACTCTATAGAAGATGAGGGAATATATATATGCAAACCATAAATTATCGTAAACTTTCTTGCTTTGAGAGAAAATGTCTCAGCAACAAAATCCTACTTCGCTAAAAGCGAAGCGATGACTAGTAATCGATCACCTATCATGATTGCTCGCACGACAGAAATCATCTTTCGGGCTATCAAATACAATATCGTCAAGATAAAAGAAAATATGATACAGTTGAAGACATGCACTGTAGTGGTTTATCTCGTAATATCATTGTCGTTCGACATTATGTTCCCAGCAAATGGATTCGTCGAAAGAATGAGACAACAACAAAAACACTGATGCGAAACTGTTCCGATGGAAGACAAAGCGCCAAGTCGAATAGATTCTTTGAAAGAATACTTAATCTCATACGATGTCAATGTTAGCATGCAGAAGCAGAATAATGTGAGCGTCCAAGACTTAATTCAACACAAAGATGAAAATTGGAGCCGAAGAATGCTCACCGGTAAGGACTTCTACTAATTATTCAGTAAGATGCTTCGTTGATGACCAAGGAATTCAAAAATCGGCGTCAAGTCAATTCCGAAGAACGGAGAAAAAATTATAGTATCGTACGATTTCAGTGTCATGAGCCTACTTGGCTGTCATTCATTCAGACAAATATCACTCACTCTTACTACGTTCAAACCATTGCAGATTACCTCATCCACTATTCGAAAAGATAATTCTACCTGCCTTCGGGATTGGAATACGCCAGTAATCCCAAATACAGAAGTCAAGCAATGGAAAAACTTTCACTCAAAAAAGTACTTCAAACAATCGACTAGTTCTCAAACAACTTCGACATCAATCCAATCAACAATCTCTGATTGATACTCCAATATGAACTTAGAGGCGAAAACTATCAAATCTCGATGAACTAGACCTATTTCTACATGAGGTATGTTACAAAATCGACTTGACCATTCTAAATTATCTGGTAAAATTGATAAAGCCGTGATAGTTAACTTTGATTAATTCGTAGAAAAAGTATATCACATATTAATGATAGTACTTTTATATCTTGTACTATGCCTTACTTGTGTATATGATTGCTTTTCATACTCATCGTATCCACTCTGAGAAGTAGTTGAAATATTGAAGGCAAATACTTTTTCACTTTGTTGTATATGTATATACGCAACAAAGTTTACAGTTTTCCAGCGATGGAACATGCATACAATAGACACATAGTAATGAATTATATACGTTGTTTGCAAATGAATTCTCTCAAGAAATATATGTCTCTACTTAAATATTTTTTATAAATAATCTATATGATCCTTAGAGTTTTCTAATGTTAACATCAATTTATTATCAATGATGAATAAGTATTTTGTTCACAGATATTATTCTTACTTTAATTCCTATCTAATTCAAGAATATATCAGAAACTATTGATTTAATTCTCATTAGAAAGAGTATAACTTAAACAGCCATATGTATATATATATTATTATTTCAATTAAATGAAATATATCGAATATTATATCATACAATTTTCTATAGAAATTCTATGAATAATCATTGAAAAATCATGTCGACTTCATTATTAATGAAGACAATAATTATTCAATCATATGCAGAATGTTTCAAAAAAAATATAAATAGTTTGAAACAATAGAATAAACAAACGTTTTGAAAGTTGTGTACAAAAACAAAAGAAAACTAATAATTTATATCGTTAATGGAACAAAAACGAATTTATTTAATATCAGAAAATTAGAATAAAAATATTTTAATAAAATTAGTAATCTCTTGCAAAGGATATCTCAAATCGGACAAACAGGAAGACACAACATTCAAGCGAATGAGTACTACTCCTGGAATTAAAAAAATGACATTAAAATGATAAAACGGACAAGAAATTGATGTTTTTCAAATTCATTAATGAAAAGTGACATTTTAATTAAACAAAAGCAGTGAATTTTATTTTTAATCGATGAATTTGAAATACATCAGTTGTTTATCCGTTTCATCATTTTAATACCAATTTTTTGATTTTTGAATTCCCTGACTATAGACGTGTAACGATATGATTCAGTAAATGCATTCAAACGAATAATTTGTAAATATTATCATTTAAATAAATCTATTCATTCAATAACAAAAAAACAAACTGAAGACTTATATAGAGAAATATCTATCGTTAAGGATTTTTTTATTACTTTTGTGAAATAATAAAAAAATAAAATCCATACGAAAATTGCGTCTCAGTCATCTATGATTGAAAAAATAATTTTTGGAAAATTAATTTTACATAAAAAACAAACAAACACAAACAAACATGTTATATTTCATCTATTAACTTTTTACAAGTACATTTAGATTAAAATGAAACTTATACAGGTGATTCTTGTGTATTTTTTTGTTTCTTAATTAATTGATGACCAATACAACTTTTTCTTTTTGATATATCATTTGTTGAATAGCATGTTGAATTTTTTATCAATGATAAGTTACCAGTACTTTTTCTATATAAATTATCCACACTTTTACGATGTAAATCAAGTAAACTACGTCTAATATCAAATGAAATACGATGTGGACTAAGTAAATGTTCTTTATTATTATGTTTATCAAATGAATATCTTGTTAATGTTAAAGTATTCAAATCAAATGAATGTGTATTTCGTCGTTTTTTAGATATTGGTGACATAGCTAATGATATTGTTTCCATTGTTTCACCATGTTTATAACCATGTATTTTATGATGATTTATTGGTGGTGTTAAACCACTTGCTGATGAAATTTGTGATTTCGAATGAATAAACATATCACTTGTATGATTAACAGTAGTAATATGATTTAAATTTATCGATGGTTTTATTATAGAACGAAATGGTAAATCACGATGACGAATTCGTAATAATTCTGAATGACGAATAAAAATAATAATTGAACCACACCATAATAATAATACACAAATAACAATTATTATTTCGGGTAATCGAAGTGGATTAAGTCGGTCAGCTAGAAGGAAAAAAAAATTATAATAATAAGTTTCTATCTTAAATGTATAGATCTTTTTGATTTTCTTATTAATTTTTTTTTATTGAATTTATAATTCAATAAACTATTTTTTTCCACATTACATGATATGTTGTATTTTTTTCTTTTTTCTTTCCCATATATAACAGACACTAATATTTTGAATGGACATTATCATCGATATGCTTGTGTTATTAAACAAAAAGAAAATACTGATTTCAAAAAAAAAAAAAGATAAAATCAATTGCTTTAATATTAATTTTTCTTTTGAATTTACAAAAAATAATTTTTACACGGCATGTTTTTTAAAAATATTATTCATAGAATAGAAGTAGAAAGTATTTTAAAATTTTCTGAAAACATTAACTAAAGCATGAAATACTGTTTCTTTATTTTATATTCATTTAATATTTAGTATATAAAGAAATAACTTACTATCATCATAATTATCCAATGCTATGATATCAATAGTATCATTATGATTTGGAGTTCGTCGAATATGCATAATTAATTTTTGTGTTGCATTCATTAGTGAAAATAAATATTCTGAACTCGTCTATTGGAAGAAATATGAAATATATGTATATATATATACATACACAGATATTATCTACCTTTTCAAATTTCTTGGAAATCATGATGTATAATTAATGGAAGTATATCGAGCATAAACCAATTAATACTCTATAATAAAAAAATGAAAAGAAGATCGAGAAGGAGAAAAAAAAAAAGAAAAATGAAAAAATTATGGTAGTCACTTCGGGTAAAGAGGCACTTTTCTTCTGTGAATCTGAGTACTTGCGCATAGCTCGAGACATCGCTGACATAAGAATGTGTATGTAAATGCATTTTCTTCTTCTCTCTTTTTTATCGCTTAACACCCGGGAGAAAAAAAAGAACTGTTTATGAGACATAAATTAATGCAATGGGAATAGTCTGATTACTATTAGCACTATCATTATACTAACAATAACTATAGTAGTAATGATGATATGTATATTTTTAATAGACATCAATGTGTTGCTTAATCAAGGATAAATATATGTGAATGAGAAAATATTTGGCTTTTGTAAACATAGGATTAAAAATCATCAAGAAAGCTGAATATTAACTTCTTATATTCTTATTATAATATGTTTCAAATGATAAGAAGTAAGAGAAAAAAACTAATTATGTTAGTAGTTTTTTCCTGTTGTTAATATGCTTACCAGTCGTATGTTATGTACAATGGATATTTTATCGTGTAAAGCATATTTTTTATTTTTTTTATTTTCTTTATTCAAAAAATTTTGAAAAATGCCTTCAAATTAATGAATGTTGTTCATAATATATATATATATATGAGAAAATAATCGGATAGACATATTCTACTAACGTCGAGTACAAACAACGAAGGAAAGTAATGTTAACTTTTTCCACATGCATGGTTGAATAGAATGGAAATTGTCATTTCCGAGAAAAGAAGACGCTCGTCTGCGCAAAATCAAATATTGATAAGAAGCCTTAGACTCTTTGGATTATTTTCAATCATTTAGAAAAAAAAAAGCCGATTCTACTTAGCTTAGAATATTAATATAATCTGGCAGCAATAAAAATATTCATTTTTATATTGAATCAAATTATTAAAGAATCAAATTTAATAATATGATATTTAAAAACAACCGATAATCGATCTATCAAATATTGAGAACAGACTTGTATTACTAATAATATTTTTTCTCACATACAAAATAAGCATTTTGAAGATGACTAAATCAATAAATCATAATTTTTGATGATCAATAGAAAAATCAATATGATTTGATTTCTTCATATCTATGATTAGCATTTAGTTGATCTGTTCTCTTTTTGACAAGATTTTCACACATTGTTATGTGTCGATAAATTACCCATTGAAAGCCTAGCAAAATGACAACAAACCATAAAAACTGCAGATTCTCTATCAAGAACTCATATAATTTGTATTACGAAGACGACCAGCCATATTTTATGAGAATGCATTTCTCAATATATTTTTTTCTATTGTTAACATATAAAAGAAAAATCATGGTTATCTTTTAAGATGAAAAATATTTTTGGATTTATTTTTTTTTGTTTGAATTCTATTTCACTCGATAATAAATAATACTTACTTTCTTCATTCTAGAATTTTATGTAAATTATTAGAAAATATAAGGTGGAACAATCTATTATTCTACCCTTGATTTTTTGATTAAAAATAGGAAGCTGATAAGTTGACATACTTCATAAATATATATATATATATATAGAACATGAAAATTACTTTTACTTGTCTACAATGAATAATAGTAGGTGTTTTCATAAATATTAATTAATCATATCTGTTTTGAATATACCAAAAAAAATTAATGTGTTTCAACTGGTTAACTTCAGAATAAATATTGATATAGTTTTAATTGCATCGGAATAAGTATTCAATAGTGAACATTACCAATATTTGTCTTTGTTCACACACTTATTGATAATTTTATCTCCGCTATGTTTTTCTTTGAACACCTGAAATGACCAAAACGAAATTCTCACAATGAATTGATCTAACTTTTAGAAATAAAAGCAGGCGACATCTTGTATTGAACATGTTTCGTTGGTTAATTTTGATAAAATTTTAGAAAGTTGATTCGATTGATTGATTTTTACTATTTCTTTCTTTCAAAATATAGATTTTTCATACAAAAAAAATCGGTCAATTTTCATATATGTCAATCAATCAATTTCCTGCTTTCGATGAACTATTTCCTTTCATCAAAAGAAAAAAAATTTTGATTTATTTATTAACAAATTCTTTGTAATAATAAATGAATTGAAAATTTAACTTTAAAAAATATTTTTCAATATAAATAAATATTTACAAATGTTTCAAACAATAATGAAAGGTAATTCGAAATTTTAAATAGAAGAAACCAAATATATACAAATATTTATTAATTTTATTTAAAACTCATTTGTATACATTTGATATTAATAAAAACTATTTTGTTGACATGCCTTAGGTCGACATAAAACGAATAGTTATAAAAATACCTTTTTTGTTTTTTTTCGGATCATTACTAATTAAGTATGAGGTTATATGTTTTCATGACAATAATCCTTACAACATGTCTTTTTTTCTAATGAATTCTTAAAATAGTTTTTATAATTTAGTCATGAAATTACTTTTTCATGGTTCTTTAATTTACATTGTTATTTTCGATGTTTCATAACTTTTTCATATAAGCATATTAGGTTCTATGAAAGTAGAAAGGTCTACTACTCTTCTCTTCTCGATAATAATTGAAAATTATTTGTTAATAGTTAGCAAAATGAGTAGAATCTTTTTTCGAAATTTTATAGTTATACCTATGCCATATTTTTGTATGGACATTCTCTTCAAATTTTGTAGACCATTGCACAAAGTATAGTCGTAGCTTAATTTATATCGAATGTATAAATCCAATAGTTTCAGGTATAAGAAAATAATAATCAAATAATTAATTTATTTGTTTATTTTTTGTATATATGTTGACATGCACAAAAAAATATGTCTTGTCACTATCAATTAAAGCCTTGTGTATAGTGTTAATTGATAAGGACATTATGTCGAATGTTAATTGTTTCCAAATGAGTAATATGTACAACAATTTGATTGCATTCTTTGCAAGAAAAACTATCAACTATCAATATTGATGTTTATTGAGGAATATTCAAATAAAAAAAATTATTTTGTCTGTTCGGTAATATTTCTTTGTTGATTATTAATTTTTTCCTTCTTTTTTATTTGCTAGAAAAAAATATCAATGAATATTTGACAAGAAAAACAGGAAGAATAGAATCCATCTTAAAATTTCTTTAGTATTCATTGTACATTTTGTAAAACTTGTTATAAATTATTTCTATATGCATATATATATATAAAGTTCATTTATCTATTCATTGTTTTTCCATTTGTTTGAATGATTGATTAAAATTTCTTAGCATGTGATATGAACCATGGACAATATCAATAATTTCAAAATTATTAATTGATTGTAATGAGAAAGTCAGAACATAATAATCAAAAAAATATGATTTTTACTATTGATCATTTACATACAAATTACGTGAGAGAAAGTAATTGATTTTATTATTCTCGAATATTGTGATTTTTGACAATGTTTTCTCTTCTTTAGATTACTATCGATTCATCGTTGAACACATTGAAATCTGAAAATATGTTGTTTATGTTAGTATATTAAAATAGTGAAGACATGTTTCGTACAATGTAAAAATTACGTACACATAGACACCTATATATGATCGTTTAACTTATTGTTTAATTTTTACTATGAATACAAAGGACGTGTTTTTTTTTTCGGCGAAGGTTATTTCGTGACCAAAACAACCTTGTATGTCTCTCTGATGAATAAAAAGTTGTATATATACGTATGTAGGCTACCGATTGTAATGAGCTTTAGGTTGATGTGCATATGTTTGTCATACCTTTGCCTATTCTCTCTAAAGAAAGAGAAGAAGTATGCATATTGCATACAAACATCGCCTCTACATTTACCTTCATCTACATAGACTAATATGTTTGTAACCATGTAAGCAATGTTTGGTCTATTGTCTCTTTTACTCGGAGTCATACATATTTGTATCTTCATCGTTTAATTATGTCTTACGATTAAAGATTAAGATTATTCTAATTTCAGATATGTCCCGAATAACTAAAGGTACATCGTCAAATAAAATAACAACAACATCATCATCACCAATAACGAATAAAAGATCTCAATCATCATCATCACTTATATCATTAATGAGATTGAAAAATCACAATCGTCATTCAAATGTAAGTTTAATAGATAAAAATACATCTTTATTATCACAACGTATAAATACATCAAAATATCTTGCTGAACAACGTGCTAAAGCTCGAGATATTGTATTAGGTTTACAACGTAAAAATATAAAACTAATTGCTATTGATTTTGATAATACATTTTTATCAATACATACAAATGGTTATTATCAAGGAACAGTTGATAGTTTATTAGGTTATATAAGATCAACATTTCATTACTTTATTCATGAAATTCTTGATTCATCAGCATTCAATCAAACACTTCATGTTTGTATTGTATCATTTTCATCTCAAGAACAACTTATAAGAAAATTACTTCAATTAGCATTTAAAACATCGTAAGTTTGAATGTTGTTTTTTTTTTGAAAATATATGTTCTATTTTTTTTTTTTTTTTTCTTTAGTAAAACAGATCGAATTATAATTCGTTGTAATACGCCTGAATTTGTTGCACATATGGATGAAGATTTTCTTGGTAAAGAATATCATTTGTCATCTGTTGTTACTGAATTAGCAACACGACGAAATAAAACAATTAAACCAAATGAAATTCTTTTACTTGATGATGATGTACAAAATATTTTAATTGCTGAAGAATTTGGTCACAAAGTACTTGAAATTCGTGATGAAATTAATTTAGACATTTTAAAAGATTTTGTTTATAACAATTTACCTGACAGTTAAATTTTTTCTATGATTACAAAAAAAAAAACAATTTCATTGTGTGTATTTTCTATGTGTTAGCATACATTTATTTTAATCTCAATAGTCAATCAAAGTCACAAATGACATCGATCTGGCTTTCTTTTTTTTTTCAAATCAATATTTCAACAAAAGGGATATATATTAAGATAAATTTTGTTTCTCTTACACTTCAGATTTTTTTCTTCACAAAACAATTAGAATTAGTAAGAATGATAAACATATCAAAGATGATGAAAAACAAATGAGAACAACTAGTCATCGTTTAACTATTGTTGTAAGGTGTAATTGAAAAATAATTTGACAAAATATTCGCTTTATTTTCAGCTTCTTAAAGAAGCCTATAAAAATTTGAAAACATTGTGTTTGAATTAACCTTTTTTATTGTTTCCGATCATAGGTTCAACTTTTCTATTGAATTTTTAGTTTAAGAGTTATGAATCAACTTTTAAGAGACGCAACAATTAAGTTTAGACGGAGGAAATTGATGGTTTTTGCAACAATTGTCTAGTGTACTACATATATTATATTACCGTTTCTTTTGCATAGAATTAAAGGTGAAATTGTTCTTTACAAAGTGATATAAGAATCAAGAATTTCAGAACAATCATTCATGGATGACCGAGCTCACTTTGCAAGTCTGATTTTTAATAGAAATCGAGAACATCGTCCAAATCGCCATAGTGTTCCTTATCTGAAACACTCACTGTTGACAAATGATTTGTTACGAATTAATCATTAGTATACTAATTATTTTACAGAGAAATGTTTATTCTTTCATTGGCTGTATTTGAAATATTTTTCGCTTCTACTTTGCATAAGCTTTGATGCATTGAAACTCGTTTTAACTCAATTTACTGACATTGAAAAGGTCGCTTCATATTTTTTAAAATAGAAGTCTTACAAAAACTTTGAAGTGATATTCTGAAAGAAGACAAAATTTTGATTCTCATCTAATATTTTTCAAATTTCTGTAGGCTCTTTTACGAGATTGAAGGATGAGTGAACATTTAGTCAAATTACTTTTCGATAATAATGTGTTAGGTATGTTTAATGACATATAATTCTCACAAAAATGTTGTAGCTATTATTCTCGCGTCAGATGACATATAAAGAATTGTACATGAAAAAAAAAATAACAAGGACAGTCTATCACTGATTTCTTTTTTATCAATGTTTTAACATATACTTCAAAGTAGAAAAATGTTTAAAAAAAATGTCAAATAAAGTCACTAGTTTCCAATCAGCAATAGAGTTCAAAATTAGAAAAATTTCTATATATATAAATTAAAATTTTAATTTTTGTCTAGAACACTTTGAAATTTCAATTGTAACTGGACTTTTTGAAGGAAAACTTAAAATTTTACCTTCTAGAATAAATTAAAACTTCAGTTTTTTTCTCTAGAACAATTTCAAATATTTGTGAACACATAGTACAAATTTTATTTTGTTTTCTATATCAAATATACAAAATTTAAACTAAATATTTGAACATGACTTCATCTTTCATAAATGCCATTTGGTACCACACCGTATTTTTGCAGTCCGACAACGATATATCTTTGTTGAATCAGTGTCATTACAGTTACATGCTTCGATAGAAGTAATTAATCCTTCGCTCACATACACTTTTCAGACTTGAATAAATGTCATCGTTGTTAATATGGTTAAATCGACATCATGTAAGTTGTGAATGTGACAGTTGGATAAATCCAAAAGATTGAATTGTTGGAAACCATGAGAAAATTATACATGTTATTGTACATGATTAATAGGTATCTAGATCATGTGATGCTGATTGGATCGAAATTATCTTACATGACAATATTTTGGCTTTATCATTTGTTTTGTCTGATTTTTCTATTATTTCCTTGCGATTTTATATCAATTCTGCCACATGTAAAAGATATTTTAATTTTTCCTATTGGCAAAAATAAAATACGAACTTTACATCACGTGCTCAGGAATACTTAAAAATTTAAATTTCAAGTTGTTCTAGGAGAAATTTTAATTTGTCCTGGGAAAATTTTAAATTTTCCTCAATTTTTTATTTCTCTTCCAACATATGCAAGAAAAAATAATCATTTCAATTGATTGAAATGATCTCTTCTATTTCATAGTTTTCTTAAAAATTCGATAGTTTAGTCATATTTTAATAGGAACTCGAATCCTTTTAGGATTTTTCTTAGAACACTATGTAATATCTATAAGCAAAAAATCACTAATATCGAAAGGGAACATCTGAAGAGGTTCTCTAGCGAGAAAGAAACAAACGTTTTTTTATTAAGACATTCACTGTGTAAATTTAAAGTCTTCGATCAAAGCGATTTTTTCTTTATTTGTTTTCCATTGTAAAATATACTTTTAGATATTGGGTGTTGTCTTGTTTCATCAAAAATTCTCTTAATTAGCTCATTTCATCGGCAGAATTTGTTTCCTTTTCGTCGATACAATGTTTTTTTCCTGAACAATTTCAGCACTTTACTGAAGAAATCTTGCCTTGAAAGTAAAGAAATAAACTAAACAGTAATGATACTACCCGACGCTTTTAAAATGAACATTACCATCAGTAAAAAGACCAGAAAAAAGCTTTCAATTAGCGGGTATAAGTGTCGATGTAAGTGTTAGGCATTTCTACTTCCACACACTCACATCTGGATTGGATGGCTGACATCATCGACTTAATGTACGATGTAACAAGTTAACAACAATATAAACAAGTCTGCACGAAATAAAAAAAAATTATTTTTCGGAGTCAACGAAATTCTTGATTTAATGAAACAACATGAAAAAAAGTTATTTGTCATTAGATGAATATTTTGATAAGATTAGTAAAATAATTGGTAAAAACCTACATTAATATTTTATTGTTACTATCTTATAAACTATTGAATTATATCCTCATTTCTATTACAGCAATACCTTTCTCTCATACAATACTACTGAATAAAAAAAAGTATCGATGAAACAGGTAAATTATTTAGTAAATCTTGATTTTTCAATGAAATGAAAGCAAATCCTAGACATTAAGATCAATGTACATAATAAAAAACTGAATAGTTATATAATTTCTCTTTGCTCTTAATTAAATTTTAAATTATCAAAGAAATGAAAGTCTTCACATGTCAAGAAAATAGGAAAATGTTTTTTTTTTCAATTGGCGAAATATTAAAGAAAAATAGATTGAACATCTAGTCTAAATCTTTTTTCAACTAAAAATCAATGGAAAAATATTTAACTCTTAATTGTAATATCGATCAATTGATCAAAAGATACTTACAATACATGGTTGATACAGGTGAATGATAACATTCATATTCATCAATTAATTCTTGTGTTTCATCAAAAAAGGATGCACGACTAAGACAATTGATCTAAATTAATACATGAATAGAAAATTATTCAAATTGCTAAAAATAATCTTTCTCATATACCATAGTGTCATAAATTTGCTCTGGTTTAATTTGAATATTTTTGAATATTGAACGGGCTCCATCCACAAGTCCTAAATGTGAACATGCATTTAGAATACAAACATGTGTTATTTCATTAATTTATTCTGTTGGTATTTTACGATAAAGTTCAATTGCTTGAATACTCATTTCACTTACACCGTAACAATTAACTAATTATCAACAAAAAAATAGGATATTGTTTTTTGTTCAGAGAAAAAAATCAGAAAAACAGACTCATTGATGTGTATCCAGTATCATTTGGTTGAAGGATTTTTTCAAAAATTTATTTGGTTTGATCGACACAGCCCGCTTTGCTCTGAAGATATGTGTTTTTTTCCAGCGGAAAAAATATTCAAATAAAATTTATTTTAACCTTACCCACATATCGATTAATGCATTTTGAATATTATTATCAACAAGAAAAGAATAAGGAATTTGTTTAACTATACTTTGACATATTGACTCATCACCAATTTTCGATAAAGCCTTTAGAACACAAAGATAAGCAATTAAATCTAATACAAAACCATCAAGTTTCATTTGATTAAATAAATTTAATGTTTTTAAAATATTATTTTCTTTATTAAATCCATTCATTAGATTTCTATAATGAGTTATACATTTTGTTATTTTTGTAAAAACTATTTCTGCATTTGAACAATCACTACATTTAATCAATGCATCAAATAGAGAAGTTGAAAGAAGAAAAGCTGAATGAAAAGATTTTGGAATTTCTTCTGAAACTTTTTTTTACTAAATTTAATGATTCTTCTGTTGAGCACAAGCATTAAATAAAAGATTTATAATAATTTCATTAGGATTTTTAATTTCATTGAAAAGATCAATTGCTTTATTTGGTTGATTATTTTTTATATAACCTTTAAGAAATATCTGATTAAATATACTTGGAAATATAACAATTGTTACCTTTCATCATTGCTCTATACATTGATAATGTTTTTTTGTTATTGTTGTATCAAATAATAATTGAGCATTTGTTATATCACCACACTGCACTATATATTAGACAAAAAGAAAAAAAAAGAAAACAATTTCTTTTTGAAACTTACTATACAAATGAATTAATGATGCTGATATGTAATAATCATCTTTTATACATGATGAAATGAGACGACGAATAGTCGAGCCACGTTGAAGATCTTCCATATTAGCACATGCTTTCAAAGCGTGCGTAATGATAAAATTCAAAAATGTTTTAATATCATTTTAATTGTATTTATCAAATAATTCAAGTGCCTTTTTAAATTATTTATTGTCATTCAACACTTTCATTTCATTTGCCAAGTCAAAACTAAATCCAATAACTACTGAACGTTTTATAAAAACAATCAGAGATGTTAAACGAGAATTTAACGATATGATTGACATGCAATTATTTGTGTTATCAAATTAATTTTATTCAATATAAATAATAAGAAGAAGCAAGATATATAAAATTGTTTGTCTACTCAGCGTATTGGATATTAATTTAAAACTAATCAATAGTAATCCAATTGACAAATGAGTGATGATATAATAGTGACTACGGAGAGTTAGATAGCTCTAAATAAATGAAAACGGAGACTCAAGTCTGGACCGTTTATTATGAATTTGATACTACCATAATTGAAAAAAACACTGTAGAACCATCATAGAATCTAACCATTTTTTCACATTCGATAACTAGCATCATCTATTTTTAATTGAATAAAAGATTCATAGACGGCGAACCGTTTTGATTCTAAAATAGACTAGTAGCAGAGCCTAGGTTTTGGGCTAGGAGTAGTCTGAGCCCCCTAGCTACATTACAGAAGTAGGCTCAACATTTTTATAATATCCTCATCTGGAAATTTTCAATTAGAAGACGAATTTTTGAATGCCACTTAGATGAAATACAGTTAGTGTCTCTTCTATCGAACTCACATGTTTCAACATGTAAACAGTGGTGGAGATCAGAAAAGAAATCGGAACTTGGGTAAAAAAAGCGCGTATTTTAAGAAACAAGCGAACATTTATGCTTAATGAACTGTGAACTTCAAAGGGAGAGAGGGTGCAGATGTCGGTGTCTCATTTTATCCGCACCCACCCATACCTACATCCACATACCCTTTACTCTTTATATCTATTCTATCCATGCCAAACAAGTTCTAAAACATTATACGAATTATAATTTTTTGTCAAGATTCTATTGCTATGATAAAAATATCATTGATGAATAAAAGTATAATGGGATATAGTTTTTAGACGATAAAAGAGTGTGACTGTAATTTAAGCAAAGATCCACACTCACACCCACATTCTGGTCAGCGTATGCATGATAAATACTTTCCGAATTAGTACAAAACTATGATCTGGTTTTCATCTAATCAATGAAAAACAGACATGTACTTAGTTAGTATTATGCGTCCTGTAAGAATGCATAACAACTTTTGTCAACCAGAAAGTAAATTAAATCAATTATATTCATGGGTAGTCATCATAATTTAAGTTTCGTTTAAGACACGAAATTGATGAATACATTTTAAATTTCGATTGCTGATCTTTGATATAACGAAAACTTCGAAAGATGCCAGCAACATGTGATTTAATGACTGTTTCTAATGAAATTCATTTTTGATATTGCCTCGTGACCGCCAGTCTTCTTTCCATTAGCTGGAAAAAAAGCGCACAGTTCTCACTTCAAAATCGTCATTTTGCGGAGCGAACGGAACTTCATATCGAAGTTTCGAAAAAACACATGATTGTGTACGAATATGGAACTCTGTAACAACGTTTGAATGAAAATCCTACACCTCCGGTCTTTAGATCATCATGACACAAAATAATGATATCGAGTTCTGTGTCGAGAAAAAAAGATTAGCAACCGACTTCTGTACGCTGCTTCGCACCGTAAAAGAAGAATTAAAAAGGTCATAAGAATATGTGTGACGAAGTGAAAAGAATTAAGAATCATATATAAAGTTATACCAACAAATATAGACAAGAATAATTTTTGATCTTTGAAAAAAAAATGTTGAATATAATTTAAAGAATAAATCAAGTTTTGTTAAAGAAAAGTCTATCGAAATAATTGAAAGTAACTAACTGCAAAGATATATTTGATCCAAAGCATTAAAACCATTAACATGCTAAATAACAGTCACACCTTTTTTTCAGGATATAAGCTGTTTCTTTTTCCGAATTTTTCTGCGTTTCTCTCTTTTTTTTTTCTTTCGATTATTGTAATTTTTAATTTTCTATTGGTGTACTTCAAAAAAAATGTCATATATTGAAGAAGTAAAAGGGACAAACTACTCAATAAAACAATAAATAAACCAAGAATAAATCAAAATTTGACCTTGAAAAGAGAACTTTCATTATTTCTAAATATCATAATTGATCGTCTGACAAAAAAATTATACAGTAATAGTTTGCAATTGCACTATCACGTCAATTTTGATACACATTGTTGATATAGAGGGTAATTTATAGAAGTATGACTCATCATGTTTATCTTTTATATTTTACTATCTTTGCACTAAACGTGTTGTATGGCGGGCTATAGATAGTGATGTTTTAAGAAACATGCAAACACAATGTAATTTATCGTGTTTCTACAGAGTAGAGATGAAAGCTTTCAAATAATAGGGTAGTACATATACTCCTTCTAGGCATCTATCTCTTCTGCTTTTATTTCCGTTTCATATATTCTCATTGCATGCTTTTCTTCTAAAGCAAATAGAAAGGTTTACTAACATGGTTGTAGGAAGAATGACACAAATGAAAAGAAAAACAAAGAAAAAGCAATGAAACTACCCCTTGTATCACGTCGAAAAACAATTCATTAACAAGAATAACATGACAAATATCTGTACTTTCTTATTTTCATTGAGTTTTTTTTTTAGAATATTATTTTCTTGTTACAATTTATCTACGGTATTAACATGGCTTCCAATGACAATCAAAAGATCTCAGTCGTTGAAGGTATGAAAAAAAGTGGCATACCATATGTACGATTAGGTAATAGTGGTTTGCAAGTTTCACGAATTTGTTTGGGTATGATGACTTATGGATCAAAAAAATGGCGTGAATGGGTACTTGAAGAACAAGAAGCACGTCCATTTGTGAAACGAGCATTAGAACTTGGAATTAATTTCTTTGATACAGCTGACATGGTAGAAAATTCATTATTACAAAAAAAATTTATTTTTATTTTATTCCATTTAGTATTCATTGGGTGTCAGTGAAGAAATTACTGGTCGAGCTTTAAATGATATGGCTGTTCGAGAAGAAATTGTTGTAGCTACTAAACTATTTCATCCAGTTGTCGATGGTCCAAATCGTACAGGTCTTAGTCGTAAACATATTTTTGAAGCATGTGATGCTAGTTTAAAAAGATTAAATATGGATTATATTGATCTTTATCAAATTCATCGTTTCGATAAACAAACACCTATTGGTAACAACAAATTAATTTTTTTTTTCTACATTAATCATATCTATTTGTAGAAGAAACGATGGAAGCTTTAAACGATCTTGTTAGATCAGGCAAAGTATTTATTCATATTGAAAATCAAATATAGATTATTTTGTTTTTTTTTTCTAATATTAGGTTCGTTATATTGGTGCTTCGTCGATGTATGCCTGGCAATTTGCTAAAGCTCAATATATAGCAGAAAAAAGAGGATGGACAAAATTTATTTCCATGCAAAATCATTATAATGTAATTTAAAATATAAATTATAGAAATCAAATTTTCTTGTTTCTATTTTTTTTTTTTTGAAAGCTTATCTATCGTGAAGAAGAACGTGAAATGATTCCATTATGTATTGATCAAGGCGTTGGTCTTATTCCATGGTCACCATTTGCTCGTGGGTTTTTAGCAGGAAATCGAAGTAAAACTGATTTAAATAAAGAAAATAATGAAACAACTTCAGCTACAAAACGAGCACAAACAGATGAATATGGTCATAATTTATATTATGCAGATAATGATTTTGAAATTGTTGAACGTTTGAAAACAGTTGCAGAAAAAAAACAAGTTAAACCAATTCAACTTGCACTTGCATGGATTTTATCAAAACCTGGTGTATGTGCACCGATTATTGGTGCTACAAAAATGTATCAACTTGAAGAAGCTGTTGCAGCAACTAGTATTAAACTTTCCGATGAAGAAATCAAAAGTTTAGAAGAATTATATCAACCTCGTCGTATTCTTGGTCATTCGTAGGATAAATTTTAAATTTTTATCATTAAATAACAGAAAAATTAGAATAAGAAAAGAAAACTTTAGAAAGTATTTTTTTGATCTTCTGACTTTTTTATTTTGTTTTTACAACATAAAGATTATGATGATTTAATTTTCTCTTTTAGATATCTTACTTTTCAATTTACATATTAATCAAGTATTTCCTTATCTATTTAACTCATATTTTATCACAGGCGCCATCTAGATAGTTTAGTTTTTGTTCTATTGGTTTTCAAGAAAAATCAATAACTAAATAAATAAACAGAAAAAAAAGATAACACATGATGAAATCTTGTCTCAGTATGAAACGGAAGTCTCTTTCTTTTTTCTTTTCATGTGAGAACATACAACTTAACTCAATCACTAAATATATCTACATTGTTATCATTATGATAAGCAAGAAAATAAATAGAAGTATATAAATATAAAAGAAAAAACAAAAACAAAAATATCATTTTTATTCAAATAACTATAAATATATCTGTATATAAATTTTATTGAAATATTTTATTTTCAGATTTATTAGCCATGGCGACTCAAGCAGGCAATCCAAGTAAATCATTTTGTTTATATTAAAACAAAAATTTGAGAATTTATTTAAATGATTTTTTTTGTTTGTTTTCGTTAGATATGGAATTATTGATTCCAATGATCAATCAACTTCAACAAATATTTACCACTGCCAATGCAAAATTAACATTGTCACTACCACAAATAGTAGTAGTTGGTGCTCAATCAGCTGGTAAAAGTTCAGTACTTGAAAATATTGTTGGCCGGTATAGATGTTAATACATTCTTTTTTATTTTTTAAATAAACATTGTCTTTATAGAGATTTTCTTCCTCGCGGTGGAAGTATGGTTACTAAACGACCTCTTGTTCTTCAATTGATTTCATCACAAGGCCAAGGTATGTTTGAAAAAAATTGATTGAATTAATAAAAATTTTGTTTGTTGTTTTTATTAAATAGAATATGGTGTGTTTGGACATAAACCACAACAAAGATTTGTAAATTATGCTGAGATTCGAGCTGAAATTGAGAATGATACAAAAACAGTCGTACGTGAAGACATGGGCGTTTCTAATTTACCCATTAATTTGACGATTTTTTCACCACATGGTAAGAAATCATAATGTTTTTAATAATTCAATTAACTATCAGAAAATCTATATAAAGGAGAAAAAGATGACGACTAATGTCGTTTCATCTAGCGAAAGATACATGTCATTCATTCGATTTTCATTATTAAATAAAAGACATACAGAATCTTTCTGCATGTGTCAACACTCGTTAGAAGAAATATTCGTCATGTAGCAATAAGAATCTAAGCTTCGTATACAACTTCTGTGATTTATTTATAAAATAGAAAATATTGAAACAACTTGTTATTTTTTTTAATTATACGATCTATTACTTTTTTAAAATGAAAATTGCTTCTATTCTTGGCATGTACGAGTAAAAAAAAAAGTGTATCAGACTTTTCCTATATTTTGATAACAGAGGAAATTTTTCGTTTTAGTGCCACATTCTACGTCTTTCTACCATGACCAAATACTTATGAGTCGTATTTTTTATATAAAATATAGTTTATGGTTAAAACAAATTGATGTAGATATATACGTATGTGAATACACTATGTGAGATTTTTAAAAAATACATTCATGAACAAGATTTGTTAATAGATCATTCTATACTTCATCGGATGCATTATTTAGTTCACATTGTAATTTTTGGATTCTTTTTCTCGTCATAGACGTAATTCAATATTATAAAAAAATCCCACAATGTATCAACATTTCATATTGAATTTTTATTTGTATTATAAGCATCTATTCTTATACTATAAGCAAGCATTTTGTTGTTGGTAGTTTGTTAAAAACAATCTACTCAACGACAAGAAACATTAGATATGAGTATAAAATGCGAATGTTTAATGAACTCTTCTAATTGAGCGTAAAATCTTGCACGTAGTTCCTTTAAAAGTTTTTTCATAATCTTCTATATTTTTTCCTTATTTTGCTACTTTTGTCTGTTGCAACTTTCGCTGTACGATAATAAATTTAGTTTTTATCTTTTCGTGACATTTCGATAAATTCAAAATTTGCATGTCAACATTAAAATATCATGTATCAGCAAGATCACCTCGAATCCATTTCATGGGATGAATCGTCGTTTTTCACATGCTACTCTCATGCTTGCGCGATGCTGTATGTGATTGAATCACATATTAACTGTCGGTTTTCCCATGAAAACTTTTTCTTCTCTAATGAGTGAATCTGAATTATTTGAATTTTTATTTATTCTCTCTCAGATACGTGTCATTTAATGTTTTTTATTTCTATTTAGTTGTTAATCTTACACTGGTTGATTTACCGGGTATGGTTAAAGTTCCATCTCAAGGACAACCGCCTGATATAGTAAAAAAAATTGATGATATTATCATTGAATATATAAGCAATGAAAATTGTCTTATATTAGCTGTAACACCAGCTAATATTGATCTTGTTACATCCGATGCTTTAGTTATGGCACGTAGTCGAGATCCAATGGGTAAACGTACAATTGGTGTGCTAACTAAACTTGATATGATGGGTAAAGGACATAATGCTCGTGAGGTACTTTTAAATAAAGTTGTCGTACTTGAACGAGGTGAATTATTTTAAAAGAAAATATTTTATTAGAAAATTACAACATTCAAATTTAATTTAGGCTTTATTGGTGTTGTACTTCGTGGTAACCGTCTCGATGAACATGGCCGAGTAGCAAAAGAATTAGATATTCCAGGTGCACTTGAACACGAACGACAATTCTTTGCGACTGAATCAGCTTATCGGTAAAACAAAAATATTTAATTGAACAAAAAAAAAAGAAAGAAAGATTTTTATTTTTAGTGATATTGCTGATCGAATGGGTGTTCCATATTTACAACGTACACTTAGTTTACAATTAACTGAACATATTCTTAAATGTTTACCGGATTTAAAACGTGAATTACAAGGACGATTTCGTGATTTATCTAAAGAAGTTGCTGAATATCGTGCAACAGCTATATATGACACTTCATCAACATCAGATACAAAAGCACTTGTTGGGTAAATGACACAAAAAAAAAAACAATAAATATTATTCTTAAACACAACAAAAAAAAAATGTATATATCTATATAATTTTTAGATTAACTCATGAATTACGTGAAGATTTTGATACAGCATTACAAGGTAATAATTTAAAAGAAGCTGATTTAAAAACATTAACAGGTGGTGCACGTATTGCAAATATATTTCGTGAACGTTTTCCATTTGAATTAATTAAAGTACAGAAAAATAAAAAGAATTTTTATTTAAAAAAATAAAATAAAATAAATCAATTTTGAATAGGTTGAATTACAAGATAAAGATATGCGTAATCAAACAGTTCTTGCTATAAAAAATATTCGTGGTTTTCGGTATGATTTCAGTTGATTTTTGAAAATTAAAATAAATATTTCTTATTTATTCTAGATCAGGTCTTTTTACACCAGATGAAGCATTTGAATATATAGTTCAAATGCAAATATCTAAATTTGAAGAACCAATTATGAAATGTGTTGATATGGTTGCATCTGAATTAGTTTCAATTGTTCATGAAGCAACTAATAAAGTATGCTTTAGTTTTTCATTGATATAGAAAAACAAAAAAATTCTGTTTTTTTTATATTATTTTAGATGAAACGTTATCCTTTATTACAACAAGCAACAGGAGATTTACTTACACAATATCTTAAAGATCGAGAAATAGCTACAAAACAAGCATGTTCGGCTTATATTCAAACACAATTAGCATATATTAATACAAATAATGAAGATTTTATTGGATTTGCTAAGTTAGTTTCAGAAATTTCGATATGAAATACGATGTAAAATGAATGTTGAAAGATAGGGATAAACATTTGGATCCCCATAGACGTAACTATGGAAAAGTCAAAGGGTGTGACAGACATTATTGATATAATGATATATCAATGACGTCTTGTTATAATATATATATACTACTTTCTTTTATTACATTTCTGAAGAATTAAGATCTCTCTATGATTAGCAAGAGCAGATTAAGAAAAAGATTTACATAGTAATAGGTAGCCTTGATGTAAATACTGAAGAATGAGTCACTGAAACAGGATGGACTAGCATTGATGTTAAGGATGGACGATTCCGATAGGAAAACAGCTGAAGATCTGTCGACTCTGACAAAATTCTAAAAAAAAACATAAAGCTAATTCTGATTTCAAGTTACAAGAATATTGGAATTGGAAGTATTTTCATGAAAGACAATAGATTTTTCTTTATCATTTTACAAAGAGTTAAATTAATTGTTCAGAAATTTATTTAAACAATAGTTTTAAAAAAAATACATTTCAGTTGAAGGATACATATGTATTAGTTTACAATTACATTTTTAGTTACACTTGCAAAAGTTTAAAAAAAAAACCAGTAGTTGTTAGGAAAATTTGTTGCATTATCTTCTTGTGATTTCTGTTCATTCCTAATTTATTGCTGTACATCAATGCTGTCGTAGTTGTTTTCAATGATGTTCTATTCGTAACTTGGGACGGATGATTCCAATTTTAAAAAATGTTGATTCTGCCCTTGTCTAATCGATGATCACTGAAGAACTGATTATGCTGACATTCGCGTTCGCTGCAACATTAAGATACTAAATCTATTAAAATATGCTGTTTTTGTAGCAATGTGTTCCAATGCTTCAGTGAACACTGGTGTCAGTATGCACTAACTATATTGAGTCGGTGTAGTAAATAAATTGAAACTGTACATCCTTAAATTTATATGAAAATTTCGTCGACATCAGTGTTTTTTTGTCAAAGAAATTCTATATAATCGAAATGTAAAATAAAATGGCAAGGTTGTTTTTTTGAGAATGAGATTTTATTGACTTTGCTCACGATTTGTGATAGTCAAACAACATTAATTGGAATATAGTACTATG